TTTATTTCTTTCTTTATTTTTTGTGCCCCTCGCCGCTAGGGCCTAGCGGGAACCGAACCCGGGTCTCTCTAGTCCACAGGCCGACGCTCCAACCGCTGAGCCAAACTGGCCAGGGTGAGGCATGGAGGTTTTAATGAGAAAAGAAAGGGGAATAATTACATGACCAGAAGGGAGGAATTTCTGTGGGTGCTAACAAGCTAGGCTACCCTTCAGCTCTGCCTGGCTGGCGATGGAGTCCAGAGAATGTCCAGAACACCAGTCCCTGTGGGCAGGGGGTCCGTGTCCTGTTAGCCGTACATCAGTTTGTAAGACCGGGTTGGTCTGGCCCGTCCAGAGGTTACTTTGCCCAGTTCAAACATTCCAGATGTCCAGGGAGTGGACGCGCGAGGCCGTTGCTCTGGGAGGGCGGCTCCCACCCCCTTTGGACATGGGTCCATTTACAGCATTTTTCACATCAGCATTATGTTGTCACGGTGGCTTGATGTGGGGAGACTAATAGAATTCTTTACAACACCAGGATTATGTAGGTCATCAGCAACTTGTGTGCGTGAGTGTTTGTGTGTATGTTTTTCGTTGTACGCTTTTCCTTAATGATTAATCAAACATCAAAGTACTAGTATGTTAGAGAAACTAGTCGGCACTGAAGAATAACGCCGGGTCGGGGTGGGTCTGAGAAAGCAGCGTGTGCTGCTCAGCTGCATCTAAATGTCACTGGGAAGGTGCTGCCTCGGACACCAGCTCTCAGAAACCCGGGACTCAGGGGTCTTGTTTCTGCCCATAAACGGGTCATCATGCCCGTCCTGGGCCAGGGTACACAAGCTCTGTCTCATGTACCACACCTGTCTCTGTCAACGCTGCTGAGGGTTGTAAGATGCATTTGAAACTTACGGCTGTTCATGCTCAGAATCCCTTTTGTGTGCTGTCGTCTGGGGTCCCTCGGGAGAGCTAAGTATTTCCAAACAGCCCCTTCCCACTGCGCTGCGCCGAAACCCAAGACCGGTCCCCGTGGCATGGCCGATGCCGCGTATTGGATATTAAATCCATAAACAGACTCACAGGAGACCTAATAGGTCATTACTGTCCGCCAGACATTTTCAGACATTCAGTAGAACTCTTACTTCAGCACAGCAGCTGGTTTTGTGTACGGCAAAGACGGTGTCATCCACGGGGTCTGACACCTTGGCTTCTGTTCAGAAGAAGTATCATCTAGAACAGGGCATTTCTCAATTCTAGACCATCTGAGTAATAGCTTCATTATTATTTTTCTTTACTGTTGATAGTAGGACAAATGCCTCCCCTTTCTTCTCCTCCTTACCCCCAACACCCAGTTCCCGCCCCGCCCCAGGCCGTCACCACCCTTTCGATGTGTCCCTGTTTCTTTGCTCTCCCCTGACTTCCAAATGCCACTTTCAGAGGTCGGAATGGAAAAGAGCGCTTTTCAGACCAGGACTGCTGGGCTAGACTAACGAAATCCCCTGTGATACGGAGCAAATGGCACAGAATGTGGTCAGATTAGAAGCCGCAAATTCTCATCGGATGTTTTTGTTAGACCGTCCAGTACGATACATATGTTAGATACTCCGCGTACACCTGGGTATACAAGATAAAGGTGGGCAGTGTTCAGTTCAGCCGTTTCGTTTCTGAATTAGAGCGTGCTCTAGGCGTTCACTGCACATGATGCTAAGACTGGCTTGGGGAATGTGGTCCTAACCATCGCAAAGGCCCCTTCACACATTTTTGAGAGTGATTGGGCCTCCACCTGTTAGAAATCACCTCCTGTGTGTTTGACTGTGAAGGACAGAGCATCTAGTCCTGACGGGACAAGCGGATAGAAGCTGTGATCGCTGTCGTCTCATGCCTTATATCCTACACGCCCTGGATGTGTGTTCTTCCTAACAACCTTCTCCAGGGTTCGTAGCCTGCGTATTTAACAAATAAATGTCTAGAGGTTTAAAACACAGCAAAAGATATCTGTGTTTCATATGAGTATATTGAAATCAAAATGTAATTTTTAAAGTCAACAACTCCAACGTTACTTAGACCTCAGTGTCGAGACCCAACACTTATACAGAATAGGAAATCACTAGGGATATATAGCAATTCCAATTGCAGTTTGATTTATTCAGTTGCAACATCTTAGTCATCAGCTATCCTTGATGCATTGTATCTCTCTTAGGAAAAAAATAATAAAAATAGGAATGCAAATAACCAACATTGTTGTATACGTAACTGTTTCTCAAAGATTGGTCACCGCTCTTCACACGTGTTAGCTCATTTAATCCTCACGACCGCCCTCCGTGGTGCAGTGGGTGATATTATCCCCTAGTTCAGGTGAAGAAGCAGGGGCTCATAAAAGCTGAGTAGTGGCCCAGTGACACACAGTGGGAAGTGGCGGAGAAGAGATGCCACGCCAAAGCACAGTCCAGAGCATCAGACCAACTAGTACAGCAGAGGACACTGAACTCAGTATTTCAGCTACAATATACATAATCTGAAGTGTCTAAGTCAAACTGGCTACACTTTCAACAATATACAGACAAGTTTATCATAGATTTTAAAATACTGTGGAGTTAGCATCTCCCGTCATCAAATCTAGATGGGTTCTTTCATTTTAATTCTCCCTCATTTCTTTATTTGGACTTCGTTAAAACCTGCTCCTTCTCGAAATCTTCCTTTAACCTCGTGGCAGGCTCCTCAGGGTCTCCACCTGGGTCCCTCCCTCCTCAACCCGTACCTCTGCTTCTTCTTCCCGCTCTTGTTTTTCATTGAGTTTATTGGGGTGACTGGTTAACAAAGCCATACAGGTTTCAGGTGTACAGCTCAATGAAACGTCGTCTGCACATGGCGTCATGCGCCCATTGCCCAAAGTCAAGTCCCTTTCCATCCCTATTGATCCTCCTCTGCCCCCTTCTCCCTCCCCCACCCCCTTTCTCCCTGGCCATCACCACGCCCTTGTCTGGGTCTAATGTTTCATATATATATTCCTTCTTTCCACTCGTAAAATGTCCTTACACTGGCGTTTATATTTAGCCCTCACACTGCTGTTTCTTCATCTAGTCTAATTTAAATTCTCAACAGATCTGTGGCTCCCACTATCCTGTACATACATTGACCTTCAGATAGTTCTTCAGGGCTCTTCTCAGTTCTCCGGGTGCCACACGACCATGTCTGTGCCGCCTTCCTCCAGGCTGTTGACATGCCATGTGTCACTGCGTAGTGTCTCCTGCGTCAAAGCAGGTCCTCTCCCGCAGGCTCTTCGGCAAGAGCAGTCTCTTCGTTGCTAGTTCAGTAATTTAATGTTAAAACTTTCTTTTCTTTTCTTTCACTTTGACCCATCACATAGCCTTGTTAAAAGAAGGACGTGAGGGTATATGGAAATGCTGAGCAAGTGAGTGTTGTTACTGTTGTTTTTATATCCAGTAACCTCTCAGATATGACCGATTTGTCCCGAGTATTATGCCATGTGATGATTTAGAGCCTAAATTCTGGAGCAAGACAGCCAGGATTTAAATTCCTCTGTCTCAGTCTCTTTACCATCGAAATGGGAATAATAATAGTCCTTACCCAAGGGGATTGCCTTTAAGGATTAAGTCATTTAGTGCCCATGAAGTGATATGCTCAGAGCAGTGCTTAGCACATAATAAACACTTAATGAATGTGCTCTTTTTCTCAACTTCCCGTTCCTTCTGCCAACTTCTTAGTTCATACTTTAAAGTCTTTGAGGGCCACAGCTCAAGGACTTGAGAGAACACAAGAAATCATCCCTGCTTTCGTTGTGCAGAACAGGGACTTGGAACCTGCAAAGAACACACATGGCTAACGGTTCCCCTTGAGGGAATGAAGCATCCAGGCTTCGGGGCTCAACCTCCTCACTCTGTCCCTTCCCTGGCATCCCCCCGTTGTCCATTCTACTCTACCGATAGTCTCAGAAGATTGTTTCCCACTGAGACGAGCTCCGTGGTTTCTTGGCCGTAGCATCCCAGCCAGTGTGTGTTCCAGTCTTCATTCCCCAACGTAGACCCAAAACCTAATATTTCAGCCTGACTATCTTCTTTCGTTCTCCACGAAAGTTTCCGTCCAACCAACCTGTTCACCAGCGAGTGATCCAAGCACATCCTTCCTCCCCCTTTGCCCTTCTGCTTGTTCTCAAATACTTTCCCTTCGTTCTTGCTTTAAAGCGAATCCCTTTCTTCAAAACCCAGTCCAACTCTACACATTCTCCATGATGTCTTGAAGAAATCGACTCCAAAGATTCCTCTTTGTCGTTGGTTCTTTTTTTTTTTCTTTATTGATTTTAGAGAGAGAGGAAGAGGGAGAGAGCTAGAAACATCGATGAGAGAGAACATGGATTGGCTGCCTTCTGCACGCCCCCCACTGGGGATCGTGCCCACAACGTGGGCATGTGCCCTGACCGGGAATTGAACCTGCGACCTCTTGGTGCATGGGTTGATGCTCAACCACTGAGCCACACCAGCTGTGCTCTCTTTGGTTCTTATGCTGCTTTTCAGAAGCCTCTTCCACTTGCCCTGGCCTCGCTGAGTTAGCTTTTCCTGCTGCATGAGCAGGAGCACAGCTCAGAAATCCACACTGACCCTTGCTGCGTGACCGTGTGTAAGTTACCAGCTCACAGAACCCCGTGCCTTCCCTTGGGAACGTGGACCTCATGGCGTCGTGACACAAAGAGTAAGCATACCGTCTAGTACTATGATCAGTCGTGACGTCACAGCAACAGCGTTACTCCTTCCCATGCGTGTATTTTATCAGTGAAGACAAATATAGAGCTAATCTTGAAGGTCGAGATTTCTCGTGGTGTTCAGCGGAGGGAATGCTGAAAGGCTGGCTGTGTGTCATACAACACGGGCCGGTTACCTTTGGAAATCATGCGGTGTCCTGTGAAACGAAGCCCCGAGCCTCACTGTGTCAAACAGGTGCTCAGCATAAGGAGCGGTGCTCTTACTGTTCCCCTTCTAACAGTTCAGATGTTGGTCTTTCATTCGTAGGGTGCGAACGCTCTCGTCACCTACACCATCATTAGTGGAGCTGATGACAGTTTTCGCATTGACCCTGAGTCTGGAGACCTGATAGCGACCAAGAGGCTGGACAGAGAACGACGTTCCAAGTACTCCCTGCTGGTTCGAGCCGACGACGGGCTCCAGTCCTCGGACATGAGAATCAACATCACCATCAGCGACGTGAACGACCACTCGCCCAAGTTCTCCAGACCTGTGTACTCTTTCGATATCCCAGAAGACACGACCCCAGGTAGGGGCGCGTCCTTAGCTGTATTTTGCAAGGAAGTCCTTGGATGCCAGTTATGGACTGTGTTTTGACTGCTCTTAATTAGTGACTGGTTTTTCCCATGTTTACTATGTATTATATTTATTTATATATATATATGTGTGTGTGTGTGTGTGTGTGTGTATGTGTGTGTGTGTGTGTGTGTGTGTGTGTGTGTATGTATATGCGAGATTTTCAAAATCTTTTAATTAGCCATCTTTGTTGTAATTCCCAAGCAAATTGCTAGACGTTGGAGAGCAGATGAGATTAGTCCTTCATCTCCTTACTGGTTCCAGACAGTTCTGCTTCTGAATGTATGTGGGACATGGGTTGTTGATTTTTTCTGGCTACCCCAGCTTTGATTTTACTTCTCCACTTTAGAAATGTTGATTGTGGTGCTGTTGCCATGCAGAGAAAGAGCAAAGAAGAGGCGCAAGGAAACCTGGGAAAAGGGGTTCTAACCCTTACGGGCTGTGTGACAAAGGACAAGTTAATTCACTGGTCTTCCTTTCAGTTCCTCTTGCTGTTAAACGGAAACAGTTCCCGTTGGAATGAGGGCTCAGGTTAAGTTAGACTGTGTCTGCGAGTTTGCTGACGTGGGGCTGGAGAATGAGCTGGTGTCCGATGAACATTGGAGCACATGACCCTGAGGACGGACCAGGCTGTGGTGGCTGATCTGAGTGTGCAGGGTCTGTTTCTGCTGTGTGCGCTTCATCCTCGTTACTGGAAATTCTTATCTAACATGGAAATGTTATTCTGAATCACATGTGGAATGTGTCTGCATAATAAGGCGTATGTTTGGGAAACTCTTCTGACAGGGAAGGAGACGTTTACAGAAGAGTCCTTATTCCTCACCGCCGATCTCTTTCACACCCTAAGATGAGCTGTGCGTGTCCTTTGTGCGTTTCCACCATGTGCGTTTCTTGTTAATTACAGCAGCAGCGCTCTGGGCTGTCAAGTGATGTCTCCTGGGCATTTGTCTGTTTATTACTTGCAATCCCCAGTTCCTGACACTAGCAATTACCCCCATATATATAGTCCCTGAATTCATCCATCTGTGGTTATGAATCGGTAATGCCAGGTAGAAAAATAATGTCAGTAGTTGTATCAATTCTCAGAATTTGTGCACTGCAACAGAAGACGTACTGGGTGTCGAATATGCGGTCCGTTGTGTTCATATCTGGGAATTGGTGTCAGTGTGAATGTAGGGATCAGGCGAATGTTGTATTCACTGTACTTTCATCGTGATTCTTTAGTTGAGAGATTTCATTGTACAGATAATTTTTGGGTGTCGTGTGTACATTCTTTTCGTAATATCCGTGTCCCATTAATTTGACTGTTCATTTGTTCTTTTTTGATAGGGTCTTTGGTAGCAGCTATTTTAGCTACAGATGATGACTCTGGTGTGAATGGAGAAATTACATACAGTGTGAATGAAGATGATGAAGATGGCATCTTCTTCTTGAATCCAGTTACCGGAGTCTTTAATCTGACGCGAGTGTTAGATTACGAAGCCCAGCAGTATTACATCCTCACCGTTCGCGCTGAAGACGGTGGGGGACAGTTTACGACCATCAGGGTGTACTTCAATATTCTTGATGTGAATGACAACCCACCTGTTTTCCTCTTGAGTTCATACAGCACATCTTTAATGGAGAATCTGCCTCTAGGATCTACGGTTCTTGTGTTCAATGTTACCGATGCAGATGACGGTATGTACTTTGCTTTATTACACTTTTAAAAACTTTATTTAAAATGTTATTAGATTTTGACAATCCCCTGAAGATGGAGGGGCAAAAATAAACCACAGAACTTACATGCATGTGTGCATGAACAATGGGCATGGACAACAAAGGTGGGGACAGGGTGGGGAGGGAGAGGAAGGGGGGAATCAGTGGGAAAAAAAGGAGAAACATCTGTAACAAAAATTAATTAATTAATTAAAAATTATAAAATAAATAAATAAATAAAATTGATGGAGAAGAAAAAGATAAATAAAATGTTATCAGATTTATATTATATTTATTTACATAGGTCCACAGTTGAGAAATAGATCTAGGTTTTAGCTATAGAGGATCAAACAAACTAAGTAATATATCAGCTAAGTTCTTACTTATAACAGTCAGGCAGGTGTGCACTGTTTTTGTTTTATAAGTTTTATTACCTTTCTCTTTCTACCCCCCCACCCCCAAATATGTGGCAGCATGGCAGTTTGGCAACATAGAAGTCATAAAACAGCGTGTTGGTAGGTTTTTGTCAGATAAATAAAAATATTGACTTACATACATTTACTTTAATATACAATGGATAAAATTTGGAAGCAAAAGTCAAACCACAGTCGTCAAAAAAATACTTAGGCTCCGGCAGTTTGGCTCAGCAGTTAGAGCGTCGGCCTGTGGACCAGCGGTGGGTCATGGGTTTGATTCCGGTCAAGGGCACGTCCCTCAGTTGCCATTCATCCCTGGCCCTGGTTGGGGTCCTGTCGTGCAGGAGGCAGCCCGTCGATATGTCCCTTTCACATCAGTGTTTCTCTCTCTCTCTTCCTCTCTCCCTCCCACTCTATCTGAACAACAACAACAACAACAACAACAAAACAAAAAAATGGAAAAAATGTCCTTGGGTGAGGATAAAAAAAAATACTCCAGAATGTATAATTAGTTTTATTTCTAACTGAAAACTGCTGGTAATATTTTGGCCAGCTTCACACTCTGACTCAAAGGACGATCCCAGAGCTCTTTAACTGAGGCTATAAAATCAAGTTGACATTTTTCATTAAATCTAGACTTTCCATGTGTTTGATTTTTATTTGTTGCAGAAGCATTTGTAAACTTAAAAAAGAAATGACCTCCCTCCGCTCCCTTCTACGACTTGTTATGTAAGGACACATATCAGCTAATATACTGTCAGTGATAACATCATGCAGATTGTCAGTCTGCAACTGAACTGTCTGGAAAGGTAATACCTTGTTTCCCTTCCTTTGGAGGCAGCTCAATGTCCTGTCATAGAGAACACAAGGGACAGTACTTCGAAGAGGAAATAGGTCCCTAGCCCGAGGATACGCCTAGTGACACGGGCATGTCACCCTTCCCGTAGAATTCCCTGGCCCACCCTGCCTTCCATGATTTATGTGATCGCAGAAGACCATCCTGTTTCCACACTCTACCCTTGATTTCCTTTCGGGAGTGTCTAGAAAGGCCCTTTCCAGAGACATGGGAGGCAAAAAGCATGGTCTCTCACCTGTTTCCATTCACAACGTTGGAAACGCTTCCTTTAGAACTTCCCCAGCCCATTCGACACGTTCTCCTCTTCGCCAAGCACGGTTAGTACTGGGCACGTGAACACGTCTAAGACAGAAAAGGAACTACGTGGAGTGAGCCAAGCCACGTGGGCGCGGCTGCCCTGCGCGGCCCATGCCTGCTGTCGGTGAACCAGCACGGCGTTCACGGACCTTCATTTAGCACGTCCCTGCCCCCAGACACGCGTGCTGGTCCCTGCGCACCGCTGCTCTGTGGCGTGGCTCCAAGTAGACGTGTATGAGCAACTGATTGGTCTCCATCTCGGGAGCTGACGTCACTGTGGTCACCTTTAGTTTACCTGCTCCCTGGAGATGAATGTTCCCTTAGAGGGCCCTGCGACTAGCCCAGACTGTTCCGAAGTGAAGAACATTCCACCGTGCTTCTTTGTGATTTATTTCTTATGGGTGGGAGAGGGCCCCCCATTGTTTCCTGGGACTGGCTGCTCTCCTGAAATACAGTTCGTGTATCCTCATGCCTTAGCATGTAGGCAACTGGGAGGGTGACAAAGAAGAAACTTTATTGTAAAAATACCCCGGGCTACGCCATGCACAAGTACACACAGACATACACTCACTGTTGATTTCAAGTTGCTTTTCATAGATTATTTTTTCCCTCTTTAATTGTGTTGGGTTAAAAAAAAAATGCAAGTTACATTTCCCCATTGTTTTAGTTTTGAATACTTTTATCAGTGGAGTTTCCTGTGCCTTGACCTAAAGTGCAGGACACAGTTCCTATTCTCTCTGAATTTCAAGGATAATGATAAGACTGTACAAGGGTTACCTTGTTTGTTTAAAATTGCCAACTCAGTTACATTAAATCGTTCTCAAGATATTTTGCAAACAGCAGTTCTTAGTCTTTCTAAAATTAACAAATTTGTCTTACTCTCTGATCAAAATGTTCTTGAGGAGGTAATATTGTCATCTTCTTAGATGAAGAAATTTTATATGATAACAGATTCAAGATTTTGTTATCTATAACTAAATTCTCCAAGAGGGTAACCTAAAATTTTAGGTTACATGATCATTTAATAAAAATAAAGCAAATAGTTTACTGTTTTCACAAGATAAATAGTATATGTATTAATCTCAAGACTCTCATGCACACAAGTAAAAAAGTACTATATTGAGGCAAACTATTATAAATTGAAGCTTTATGGAAATACTCTGGCTTTGATCATTATTTCATTACTTTAGGAATAAATCTTATATTCTTCAAAATCTTGGGGAGTCATAGGGTATTTTGAGAATAAAATGATTGTAATGATTCCTGAATAAATTCATCTGTATGTTCATGGTACACAATACAGATCATTTAAGCTATGAATGGTTTTCAGATTGTGAATAGGTGTACACATTTAATAACAGAACTGTATGCCTATAGTTACCTGCTGTGTTTCCTGACACTAAATTGTGCATGAGGCTGAAATAAAAAACAGCACCCCCCACAACACAATACCATCACCCACACACAGTAAAACTGCCCGAAAGGATCACGTAACTAAACCACTTTCGGAACATTGAACACACATGAAAGAATACGGACTGGTTTAAGTTTGGGGATCTGGTGGGCTAGGAAGCCCACTTGATTCAAGTCTCAACACTCTGGATAAATTATAGGATTTTAAAGTAATGTATTTACGGTTTCACAAATCTAATATTTGATGCAGAAAGAGAAAAATGGCCCAAGCTCTTTCTCAGGACGCTTCAAATGTTCAGGGAGAGTTTTGAGTTTCAATGTGTCCACACGAGTTTTCTAGATGGAGAGCACATGCCCAGGGTCACTCAGACTTCTCAGGAGTGGAAAGTCCTCTCTCTCCCGGGAACTAAACACAGAAGCCTCCCTGGCCTGTAATAGCTGCAGTAGGGTTTCAGTCTCAGAGTTGAGAGCTGGTTTTTAGATGGTGTTGCAATATTTTGTGCAGAAGTACTTTCTTTAGAATTACTTTCTCCAAGACAGTAACAGTTACCATCAGTTTATTTTTAATGTTATTACCTAATAGTTTTGGCATTATGAATTTGACTATGTAATCAAATTTTTCTTTTTTTATAATTCTATTTAGAGTTAAACTTACCCCACCAACCTCCCCCACCAAACTCTTTCCCTAAAAAAAGAGGCTGTTCTGCTGTTGTTACAGCGTGAACATACAGTCTTGGGATCAGGTTCTCTTGTTGCCTCTGCAGGTTGGTTGTTTGCTCAAGGGAGCATCGTACGTGGTGGCGTCCACTAGATTCATGCGGAAACCTAGCCCGTCACTCACTTCGTGGCTGTGTGCAATTCTGTCGGGCTTTTTAATTTTTGATCTCGGCATGAACGATTTTGTAGGTTCCCATAGAATGACATTTTATCTCTCTGCTTGTCGGTATTATTTTTATCCAGATGTTTTCACAACTTTTTCTTGATAATAATTGTGTCTCAATTTGTGCCTCAGAGACTAAGAATTTGGTATTCACTGATGGACTGAGCTATAGGAAATGCAGGAATTTTCCGTAGAGAGTAATTTGATTTAAAGATCCATATTAAATATATACATAATATATTATATGTAAAATATACATATTAATATATATTAAATCAAATTACTTTCATTTTAATTATCTATATCTCTATATCTCTATATAGAGGTGTGTGTGTGTGTGTGTGTGTGTGTTTGTGTGTATAGGTATATTTCTCCTTAGAAAGTAATTTTTGGGGGACCATATATCATGGTGCTTTTCTTCCCCCAAACCTGTGGAATCTTCGTCGAGGAGTTGAAGTAGCTGTTGACCTTGTTCTACTCAGATCTTAAAAGCATATTTATCTCCAGCTGTTGAATTGACTGTGGCCTCCATTAACGTTATTTATTCGTATTTCCCCCGATCCTCAGAGTGGTAAGTATTCTGACCGTTATAACCTCTGCTTTGTTCACTTGTGAATGGTCATAAACTGTAAAGATTAAAAGCCACAAGTCATAATGAGGAAGAAAACCTACCTTTTCAAAGATCCACTCAACCCTTGTTTATCTTAGACATTTTTGTGAATAAGCCAGTGCCTGAACGTTTCTTCATAAATACTTTTTTTCTCTGCATCAGTCTGTGGATAAAGGACATTAGACAGAGGCCATAAAAGTACCAGAAAGAATAATTCTAGCATTAAAAAAAAAAAAGAACAGGCAGGCCCTACCGGGTGGGAAAACAAATCCCATTACTCAGCTCAAACTCGCCTTTGCAGGGAACTTGAGGAGTTTCAAGGAAAAGCAAACGGTGACTCAAATGTTCAAGAATCCTGAGAAAGTTTTTTTCAAGGAAAAAAAGAGAAAAAGGGTAAACAAATTGTTCTAGAAGACTCTTGGCAAACAGTGAACATCATTTCTGACACCTAAATAGTTGGAATTAATTTCAGAAACATAGGAGCTATGTGTAAGCAGTATGTTAACTCAATGAATTTCTCCTGGTACAAAACGCAGAATATAAAATCTTTAGTAAGGATGGGTTATCTAGGGACACAAATATTCTTACCAAGTCTTATACTATCCTACTGTATCCCAGTATCATTAGGCTAACATAGGAAAATGTACATGTGATTATGGATTAGTGTAGAAAACACGACTCTGGGTCAGGAAACCTTATTTTCCTTTGTTTTCACTGCCTACCTGTTATTTGCCTGTACATTATTTACTAACACCGTAGGGATCATTCTCCACATCATCTTTTTTAGAAGAATGTCTGCGGTCAATTGCTGAAATGAGGATTTTTGTATCACTTTTTTAATGAAAAAGTAACACGTGTTTCTAGGAAAAATAGATAAAATGCTATCTAAGTACAGCCCAATAATAGTGTGAGCATTTGTATTTGGAGCCTTCCATGTACAATTTTACTGCTAACATTTCCTTTAAATAATATTTTAAAACACATTAAATGTACCTAATAAAATTCGAGAGAGAATGATTTTCACAAAGGCCATGAGCCAGGTGCCTAATAGGAATTAAAAAGTATTTATTGGTCTGACAAGAAGTCTAAAAGTAGACTTAAGTATCTATGACTAGTGCCATACATTAGAAAATTTTATTGCCCTCCTCTGAAAACCAGTGTCGGCCTCAATAAATTACTGAAGTTATAAATTTGGGGCCAATCGTATAGCGTGTGGCCCTGTTCATGTTCAGCCGGCAGGAATTATGTGATAGAAATAAGGGGACGTACAGAAAAAGTGACGCCCCGTGGAACATGTTTTCCTCTTTACTCGCGTCGTTGAACATGTCAACGCCGCAGTAAATAGCAAACAGCGTGTATACTATCACTTGCTCACCAGGCCGTGAGCATCTGGGGACCGGACGCTCGCAGGGCGCGTTGCGCGTGTGCGCTGCTGACAAGGAGACCTCACCGCAGCCTCACCAGCCCCGAGGCCGGCGGGGAGGCGGCAGCGGTCCCCTGCGAGGGTCCCCGCACACCTGTGGCTGCGCTCCGCGGGCCATCAGCGCCCGGCGGGCAGAGTGACACGTGTCCCTTCCCTTGCAGGCCTCAACGCGCAGCTGGCCTACAGCATCGCGGCGGGGGACGGCCTGGGGCAGTTCGCGGTGGACGGCCACGGCGTGCTGACCGTGCGGAAGGCCCTGGACCGGGAGACGCAGTCCTTTTACAACCTGGCGCTGCAGGTGCACGACCTGCCACGCCCCCCGGCCTCCAGGCTCACCAGCACGGCCCAGGTGTCCATCATCCTGCTGGACGTCAACGACAACCCGCCCGCCTTCCTTTCCCCGAAACTGACCTACGTGCCCGAAAACACGCCCATCGATACCGTTGTCTTCAAAGCTCAAGCGACTGACCCGGACAGCGGCCCCAACAGCTATATCGAGTACACCCTGCTGCACCCCCTGGGGAACAAGTTCAGCATCGGGACCATCGACGGCGAAGTGAGGCTCACTGGAGAACTGGACAGGGAAGAGGTTTCCAATTACACGCTAACCGTGGTGGCGACGGACAAAGGCCACCCGCCTCTCTCCTCGTCCACAGAGGTCATGGTGATGGTCCTCGACATCAATGACAACAGCCCTGCGTTCGCGCAGGCTTCCTATCAAGTGGAGATCGATGAGAACACGCTCACAGGCACGGACATAACACAGGTGTCCGCCACCGACGGGGACGAAGGCACCAACGGACAGGTTCGCTACGGCATCGTGGACGGGAACGCACACCAGGAATTCCGGATTGACTCGGTGACAGGCGCCATCACTGTGGCCAAGCCATTGGATCGAGAAAGGACCCCTTCTTACCTTTTAACTGTTCAGGCTGCAGACCGGGGCAGCACCCCCAGAACGGATACCTGCACGGTCAGCGTTGTTCTGCTGGATAGCAATGACTTTGTCCCCGTGTTCGAGCTGTCTCCATATTCCGTACATGTCCCTGAGAATTTAGGGACCCTACCCAGAACAGTCCTCCAGGTCAGTATACTTAAACAGACACTGGGTTCTCTGTAAGACATCTAACGTAATTGCAATGTCCACGCAAACCCTCCCTCTTTCTTATTCTCATCCGTAAGTGCATGATTGCAGATGTAGCAAATCTTCATGAATAGATATATTTTCTTCTTTTTTGATTTTAGAGAGCGAGGAAGGGAGAGGGAGAGAGAGGGAGAAATGCCGATGAGAGAGAACATTGATCGGCTGCCTCCTGCACGCCCCCCACTGGGGATTTAGCCCATAAACTGGGCATGTGCCCTGACCAGGAATCGAACCGGCGACCTCTTGGTGCATGGGTCAACGCTCGGCCACTGAGCCACACTGGCCAGGCGATATAGCAAATCTTGAAAGGTTTAGTGAAAATTGCACCTTTTGACCTCCTTGTAGATTGACCATGACATGTTAATTTCATTCTTTCGTGCGTACTCATGTTGTACACATTTAGGTATTCGTGTATTTTTTAAACTTTGTTTCACTATAGCTGGGTTGTCTGCACGTAGTAAGAACGCACATGATGTAAAGTTTTGAAAACTTGCTTGTAAACATGGTTCTCCCTTCCCTTTTTACGAATCCCACTCCTGAGCTGAAACTGCTGTTAGGACTTTCTGAAAAGCCTTTCTAAAAATGCTAGGAATTGATTTTGTGCCTATTTTTACACCAAGCATGCATACTACTCTATACTATTTGAATTTTTTACTTGAAACTGAGAACTGTGTCTTTGAAACTGTAATAACTTTAATTATTGGTATATATCAGCAGTTTCCAACCGGCTTCCACAGCAAGACTGTTTAAAACATGCCGTACTTGACTGTTTAGCCAGAGGCGCTGACCTTCTCTCCTTCGGTTGTCCAATAAAAAAATGACAGCAGCCAACACAACAGTAGCCGTCCGGGGTGAATGAATCAAAATTATACCCACATTTTTTTGTGGGATCAGCAAAAAATGTAGTTTTGGTGTGCCGCAGAATTTTAGTGACGAGTTTGTGTGTGCCCCGAGGTGGAAATGGTGAGAAGTTGCTGGTGTACACGCTTCTGTCTCATTGTTTTTAATGCTACGTGTTACTCTGTGGTGTGCGTTGTTAGCTGGACGCATTCATGGCTGGTACTCTGCTCGCTTACAGGTGGTGGCAAGAGACGATGACCAAGGTTCAAACAGCAAACTGTCTTACCTCCTGCTCGGTGGTAACGAAGATGGTGCTTTTACTCTCTCGGACAGTGGGGAACTTCGAGTGACACAGAGCTTGGACCGAGAGACCAAGGAGCACTTTGTCCTGATGGTCACAGCTACAGATTCAGGCAAGTGTGTTTTAACCTCCCTCAGTGGCAGAGAACGTCTTCGAAACAGGAGTAAAAGGAAATGTTTGTGCCTGCCATCATTATGGTGCGTGCTTGTTGAAATTCACGCATGCTTGGCCCTCCTATTGTGGCTGTATCAGTTAGAGCCCATGTAGCCGGGCGGAGATTTTGAGATTATGAGTAAGGATGGACACGTGTTATGTGTTGAGACGATAATGCCCGTGATCATTAACGGAGGCAGCTGTTTATATTATTCTCGTTGACTTCGGGGAGTGCGGTTTTCTGAGACTATTGCTTTATGAAAGAAAGCAACATTGTCTGTACTTCTTTAATGCGGTGAATGACCGTGTTATGTTTTAGGCAAACAATAAAAAATCCGGAGGAGAAATGAATAGAATGTAGTCTGGTAACCGCATAAAACTTAAACTAAGTTGACGTGACACGGGGTTCATTGTGCGCGTAGTCAGCATGTGCTTGGAGGTCAGCAGGTGCGAAGGGTCCCCCGTCTCGTGGAAAATGCAGTCATTGGCCCGTGGCTCAGATCGACCCAGTGTTTCAGCAGTCACCTGGAGAGAAGAGAGGTGGCAAGGAGTAGGAACTGGTAGACATTCAGATATTGAAAACCAAGGTTTTATAACTAAAATGCCTTCGTCCGAGCTTCCCTCTCCAGTTACAACTGGAGACATGTGGTTAATACTGGGCACCCACAAGTGCAGAACCTTTGTGGAGGTGACATGGGGAGGAGAAACCAGGACCAGGAATCGAGCTAAGACATCAGCGACAATCACACTTGCTGCCCAGAGGGTGTCCCGCGTGGGTCATTCCAGGGTGGCAGCGGGATGTGATTCGGGAAGTCGGTGCAGTGTGGGGTGACCAGGACAGGCAGAGCGCAGCCCACGGATGTTCTCAATTCCAGGCCTTGAACTCTGGGACAGTCTACATCAAAGCTGTGGCCGAGAAAGGCTGTAACCAGGTAGGCAAAAGTGCCTGTTTTCAACCAGACAGTTCTGAGAGTTTGAAAACCTTTTGTGTGTCTTTGCCGCCAAGAGGAGGCTACTGGGAAACAGAGAGAAGGGGGGTTTTCTGCTCATGGCCACGTGTCACACAGTGCCCCAGGTTTACACACACGGACCGTTTCACACACTACTCTTCCTCATCGTCTCAAAGACGTGGGTGTTTCTAATTCCACTTCACTTACAGTAAACCCGGGTTCAGAGAAGTCAAATAATTTGCCCAGGATTGCACAGCTAGTATGTAACAGAGTAGAATTCAGACCCTAGCACATCTAACTTCCAAGTTCAGGGTCTACGGAAGGTTTTAGTGTGTAGGGAAAGTAAGACTTGAAAATACTCATTTCTAAAATTATCTTATTTGGAAAGCAAACACAATTATAGGTTGTATAATATGATGAAAGATTTGGATTGGAATTTTCCTTGATTTAAATTCTGGTTCCGCCGTAATTTTCTTTGTGATTCAGATAAGATGTATTATCTCTGTCAACCTCAGTATCTTCCTCAGTAAAAGGGGATGATAGTAATTACAAAGCAGTTTATTGTAAGGTTAACTATGCCTATCACATAGCATATACAATGATTGTAATAAGAATTGTGATTTATGCACTTTAAATATTTTATTTTATTTTATTTTTTTTCTTTATTGATTTTAGAAAGAAGAAGGGAGAGGGAGAGAGAGATGGAAACATTGATGAGAGAGAATGTTGATTGGCCACCTCCTGCATGTCCCCCACTGGAGATTGGGTCCACAACCTGACTGGGAATTGAACCGGCGACCTCTTAGTGCATGGGGTCAATGCTCAACCACTGAGCCACACCAGCTGGAAAGATTTTAAATACTTTAATTCTTAGAAAAATTTTCCCTGTTCCTTACTATACAAGTATTCTTGTTAAAAGACTACAGATTGATTTAAAAAAAAAAAACATGTTTTAAAAATGCAGCTTAAGTTTCATTTTATATATTATTAAATTAGGAATTTATTTTATGTATCAGATGTTTCTTTTCAAACTTCCAAAGACAACATTGCGTGGTAAGTGGTTAACGATTTAAAACAACCGCAGATTTCGAAGATTGTAGTTCAGCCAACGTGTGACGGAGGAGGGTGTTGCAGGTTAGCCGGCTGATGTAGCCAGCACGTCCGGTTCCGTTCCTCCATCAGAATGACACCACCAAAGGGACAAGTCCCTGGGAAAGAGAAAGGAGAGGAAGCAAACGTGACCTCGTCGAGCTAAAAGTATTCTCCCGTGATGGACAGGGGTGGTAAGCCTGTTAGGAGGGACTTCCCCCTGAAGTCCAAGGGGACCCCGTGAAGAACCCGTCTCAGTGTGCAGACCGCGCGAGAACCAAGTCCCGCTTCAGGGAGCAGGCGAGTTCCTGGAGCCGTCAGCCTTGGTCCCGGGCAGAACCGGCTCTGGAATTCTTCATGAAAGGACAGCTAATAGAAGTACAACTCACTCCCGTGAAGGACCGTTGCCATCACCTGAGACATGTGAAGACCCGGTTTGTGTGGGTTCTGCCCCACATTATCAGTAAAATGAGGGTGTTTGCAGTTTGTCGCTCACTGAGATGTGATGCCAAGGAGCATGAGCCAGATTCAGGGTCGCTGGTGCCGTAGGCGCCAGTATTTTGGCAGTCCTCGAAATCAGAGGATTGTCCCAAAGCACACACTTTTATGAGTGCTTCTGTTTTTCGAGTTGCCCTAACATGGACTGGTGTTTCTGAGGCCACTGGGGTGAAGTGTTCAGTTAAGTATCCGAAGATCCTTGACTATGGATCATGTAGAAAGCAATCAGAAATTGGGAGGGAAGTTGGACTAGATGATCTCAAAGTAATGAGAAGCCTGTGTTGACCACGAGTTTGCATTCAATTCCGGGGCGGACTTTTGGGGGCGTAAACCAGCCCTTCGTGGGAGACGGAGAGAATTTCAGAAGCGGGCTCCGGAATCTGCAGTTCAGTGTCACATTCCGGAATGAAGTCTGTGACGCGGGCTGTGACATACACGTCCACCGCTCTGATTCAAAAGTCACGGTGGTCGATGACAAGAGGAAATGCAGAAGAAAACACGGCCACTCTTAGATCCCAGATGCCACGTCGTTCCCGAATTCGCAGTGTTCTAAGACCCAGGAAAATGTCCAAGTGTTCTAAACAGAAAGGTTTGCCGGTTTTATGGCTTAGCCCACAGGTCACTGTCCCTTTGCTCTTTTCAAACCCTTACCTGGTGTCAGGCCAAGACAGGCAGCGTTGCTCAGACAGAGACGCTGAAGCAGGAGTTGCTGTTTTTTTTTTTATCAGCAAACGTCTAAATCTTTGGATCCTTTTTGGAGAAAATGCTAGCGTTGCCCTTTCTTCGTATTGTTATTTACTGGCTGCCTGGCTCCAGAGGCGCACATCTGGAAGCTCTCTACTGACTCCGGACTCCGGTTCACAGGGCGCTGGGACCCCACTCTCCTGTGTGCCTGGGCCGCAGGCTGCGTGCGCAATCGCCACGCCCCACAGAGCGTCTCCATTCTACTCGCTTTGCTTTTTTTTTTTCTGTAGGATTAAATTACTAATCAGCAACTTAATGAGTTGAGACGTTAACTCAATTAAAGCTATTTTGTTTAACTATAATTTAAAGCATGGATAGTCTGCCTTTATTCAAGGTGGTTTTTATTGTTGTTGTTGTTAATCTTCACCTGAAGATATTTTTCCTTTTTTTTTAGATAGAGTGGAAAGGAGGGAGGGGGAGAGAGAGAGAGGAACATCTGTGTAAGAGAGATACAGCAATGGGCAGCCTCTTGCATGACCCCGACCAGGGCTGGGGATCAAACCTGCAATCCAGGAATGTGCCCTTGAACAGGAATCGAACCTGCAACCCCTTCGGTCTGGGGGCCAGTGCTCGCTTGCTGAGCCAAACCAGCCAGGGCCCTTTATTCTATATACTTACTGCTGTTTCTTCTAGAAATATGGGCTGTGCCAAGTAGAAAGTCCTCGGAGGCTCGAGCGCCCGCCTGGGCTGGTGAGGCAGGTGTTGCAGAGACCCCAGCTCTGCAGGTCCTGCCAGAGGGCAGCTGGCGGCCCTGGAGGTCTGCACTCGGGTCCCAAGAAGCCTCCCTCACAAGACTGTTTCTTACCATTTTCTCACATGTGCAATGAGTCAGGTCATGATTTTAAGATAGTCAGTTGTAGGGAATCATCACAGAACCCAGGGCAGTTCACATTATAAAAGGTTAATTCAGAGAATTAGTTTACAAACTGGAAGTATGTCCTAGAGGTAAAGACACAGCTTTACAGTTAGAAAAACAAAATAAGGTTCAAATCCCATCTCTGCCATTTCTAGCTACACGACCTTGGACGGGTCATCTATATGTTTATGTCTGTAGAACAGAAATACTACTTCCACTGGAAAAACTTATTGGCCGGGATAAATAAGACAATGACGTGTTGTAGTTATTAATATTAGTCAACGTGTTTGCTGGACAACTCAAGCTTAGTGAAGCCAAAGAAAACTTTTGACTCCTGTCCACCTCCCTAAGCACCATCAATAACCTGCCTACGATTTCACAATTGCTAAAGGGAAACCTTGGGGTCATGGTTCATGCCTCTTTCTTTGTACCCTGCATTCAGCAAGTCCATTTACAAGAAGTCGGTGCTTCTAATAATGTGGAAGAATGTCCTGAACGTGCCCTCTTCATTGCTACGCCTGCCGCCTGGGTCTCAGCCAGGGCTAATGTGGTAGCTTCCTAACTGCCCAGGCCTCTCCCCTGTGCCTTCTCCAGCAAGCAGCTTGGGAGCTTCAAACTGCAAATCAGATCGCCATGCCCCGTGGCTTGTTAGATACCCATCAGTGGCCCGGCCAGTGTGGCTCAGTGGTTGAGCGTCAACCCATGCACCAAGAGGTCGCCGGTTTGATTCTCGGTCAGGGCACATGCCCAGGTTGTGGGCCCGATCCCCAGTGGGGGCATGCAGGAGGCGGCCAGTTGATGTTCTCTCTCATCGATGTTTCT